GTGGATCTGAATCTGTTAAACTTTTTACAATATTTTCTAAAATATAAAGAAATTAAAAAGATAAATAAGATCAAATATAACATACTAGCAGCTTTAGTAACATTTCGACGTGATTCAGATTCATTATTTGTCGTTGAAGAAGTTGCAGTATTGGCTGCTGCTGCTGTTGTTGTTGTTGTTTTACCATTATTTGGTTTAGATTCTTTTGAAGTAGCAGCTGAATATAAAATTTATTTGAATTAAATAAATATTTTTATTTATTAAAATACCTAATGTTTCTAATTTTTTAACAAGTTTAGCACCAATTGCTGTTTGTCCTGATGTACGAGTTGTAGTCGTTGATGATTTTATTTGAGATTCATCAGTATTTGTATCTTCACATGATGTTGAAAGATTAATTGAATCAATTATTTGTGAAAGTTGTTCATCGGATGGTATTTGATTTGTATCAAATGAAAGATTTTCATCATTCATAACATCATTTGTTACTTCAGATTCAATATTTGTTGTTGAGGTAGTCATTCGAAATTATTTTTCAATTATAATGATTGAAAAGATAAAAAAAAGAATAGAGAAAGAAAAAAGAAGAAATCTGAAACGAAGAAAAAAAAAAGATGTAGCTATGAATTAGTGGGTAATAGTTGTACAATAGAAGATTTATTCCGTTCTTTCTTTCTTATTATGTTCGATGATTTAGGCATATGGAAGCTTCCTAATATAGAACGGAAGAAAAGTCATGGTTACATTTTTTTTTCTCTCTTTTTCTGTTCTTACTTTCAGCCAACAATTGTCCAATGTCCAGTAATGTATAGAATATCATTTGTTATAATAGATTGTTTATTTTGAGAAAATAAAAGAGGTCGCTTACGTAAAAAGACATATTGAAATATTTCTTATTGAATAGAGTTTTATTTTAACATAAGGATATATAATGGAAAAAGTATACTATATGAAAAGTAACAAATTATCTCGTAATTGAGCGACCTCTGTTGGCAAATCATCGAAAAGTGAAGTTCGTTTCTTTACTGAGAACTCTGTGTCACAAATAAGTTTTAAGAAAAAGTAACACTATCATAATATTATTTCATTTCTATTTATGATACCAAAATCTTGTTCTATTCATTTTTTTCCTTTTTTTTCTTATAACAGAGACAATGGAAGGCGTTATATAGTCGTTAGCAAAATTGGCTCAATTTGAAGCTACCAAGAAAATAAATATAAATTGACATCAATTAATATAGAATCGATAGTTTTTGTTCAAAATAAAAAAAAAGGTTCTTCTTCAGATTATATACACTTTGGCGGTCACAACAATGAGTAAGAATGAAGGTGCGTAATCTGAAGAAGGTCAAAACACTTTCAACTATATCATTGTTTTTCATATTACTGATGTGTCTGATTAAACTCACCACAAGTTTTTCTATTAGAGAACACTTCATTGCGTCATATCCAGCTATCAGTGAAATGAATGGAGTATATGATGTCTACTTTGTACTCATTTTTCAGTATCACATGAGAGAAATTCTCAAGGCTGAAAGAATCAAATTATTTTTGCCATTTTTTCGTTTTCTCTGTATTTTTTTATAAAGAACATTAATAGCAAGTTTTTCATTACACAATATCTATTTTCTAGTTTTTATGTACAGAAACAAAATAACAACAGTAAAAGAAACCCACCATTTTCTATAAACAAAAAAAAATTAACTTAAAAGTTGTATACAAGCAAAAATAACTTATTATCATTTAAATGAATACCTTACTGTATTTAAAGATGTGAAAATACAAATATAAAACTTGAGCGATGCGACCTCATTACAAGATCTCACTATGAGAATATATACGTTCAACTGGTGCTGATATAGAAAGAATACAAGAATTACTAGTTTTTGTTTTTAAGAATTGATGACTTCAGTCAACGTTATCTAATTTTCGAATATAGTTCTGCAAATTCTATTAATTTCTATGTATTGATTCAATAAAAAGACACATCTGATGCTGCCCAAAGATGTTCTCGTATCTCTGGTTTGCAAATACTTTCACAAAACTGATCATGATCAAATACAATATCCTCCTTGTTATTGAATATTTAGTGACAATCACATAGCATATCATGTATAAAACAGTCTCGTACAATCATTACATAGCGTACATGAAAACTATGCTGGTAACGAAACCAATCATGTTTTCAGTGTGTATAATTTTCCTTAATTTGCAATAGCTTTATGATCAAAACAAGAAAATTTTCTACCTATTTTGATGACAAGAAAAATATTATAGTCTACTATACCTTGATATATTGATATGATAAATAAAAAAAGGAAAAAATATTCAAGTGACGCGCTTATTGTTATTTATTTTTCGTATCGAATGAAAGAAAAAGTTTATTGATGTTGTTTTAATATATTTCTTTAAATTTATCGATGTGCTTCCGCACATGTGAAGCGTTCGATGTTCACTGGTTTTAATCTTATTCTATTTGTCATATATATTTTTTTGCTAATACAGACTAAGCAAGGTTTTTATCATTATCATGATCACTCTCAAATTTTTCGAAAATATCGTCATATTTCTTTACATAATGAAAGTCATCTCAATTTATCGTTGAAATCATCAACAAAAAAAGAATCAATTTCATTCTTTAAAAATGAACCTGTACCATTGGCTTCGTCAGTCGTTGATGATCTTACTACTCTTGCATCAGCTGTTTATATAATCTCTCTCATCATTATTATATTTGTTCTTCTTGCTTGGATAACTCATTATAATGCACCATGTTCATCGATTATTGCATCTATTTTAAGTGCTATTACCGGTTTGCCTGAACCAATTATTCATTCCGTTGCTCTTTGTGGTTCATGTTGTATGTGGTGTGAAAGAACATGGCTATTTCGTCGTATTCATCAATTTAATATGTGGATATCATCTATGATTCAAAAATTTATATCAGGTACATGTAAAGTTTTGTATGACACAATTTGTCCTTGTTGTCGACCACCTGATACACCATCGAATCGATCTATCATTGGTAAATTTGAAAATTGTATTATATTGAAATGATTTGAGCTTTATTCTACAAGGATCATTACCAGCTGGTATTATCACTATAGCTCAAGTACCTGATATTCCTAATCCATCATCACCTAAAACTGTTGTAACGGGTAAAAAATTAGGTTTGATTTTCTATGTTCTAATTATTTTCTTCGTTTCCAGTTGTAGAACCTACCTCTGCATCACCAAGACCATTGACCGTCAGTGTTGATTTATATTCTCAACCAATAACTGAATCTTTGATCGAAAATCAAGATTATTTACCTTTTAAAGTCACAACTAACGAGACAAAAACACATACTAATCAAACATATGAAAATAAATCAAGAAGTAAAATGCGTCGTAAACAACCGCGAAAACAAGTTCAGTTAAAACAACGTACAGGGATCGGTGAATCACTATATATTGATGAACAGACTGACGATACTAGTGAAGATGAAGATACTGATGACGAACAAGAAGAAGAAAATACTAAAATTTATTGAAAACGTTCTTTAGCTTCTTTACGTTCTTGCCAAATAGTAGCACCGGAGCAAGTACAAAGACGTTTGGTATTCTCAAAAAGACCAGCTGATTTAGCTATAATACCACATGCAACACGTCTAAATTTGAATGAAATTATGTTTCTTTTTAAATCATAATAAATATGAACGGAACTTACTGAGAATCAGAATTTTGTATAACAAATGATCGTCCAATAATATCAGGTACTCGAATACAACGATTGAGTAAACGAAAATTTGCAGTACCGTGTTCATCGGTCGTTACTTGTCCAAGCATACCAGTTAATTCACCGGAACGTTTTTGAGATGACGAAAAACTCGAATCATAATAATCACCACAACTAAACAAAATATAATAATAGTAATACTAATAAATATATTCATTCTTTCATTTGTGACATGTGATCGGTACCTATCACACCCATTGGAAAGATCACCATATTCATGTATATTAATACGAGCTGAACTATTAGGTATAAGTCCATCAACAGATCCTTCAATAATACATTGTTCGTCATCGGCTTGAATAAATCGAACTAAACCATGAGTACGACGTTTAAATGGTTGATTCATATTACTATAAAGTGCTGAAACAGCAGCACCTAAAGGTTTTCCTATATATGAAACAAAGATAAAAAAATAAATATTCTATTGAAAAATAATTCGAACAATGATTACTTACCAGCGCCTAATAGTACTGCATTAGTATCAAGTGATTGTTCAATTAAGTTTTGAACTTTTGATGATTGTAATGTTGTATTAAGAACTAATCTTTTCGATGGCAGATCGATATTAATATTTTCAATATCTAGAATATATTTATTCAATAGATCTTATCGAACATGATAAATAAATTTTTCACGTACCTTTTCGATTGGCTAGTAATTTTTGTAATTGATCAACTTGTTCTTGTCGATTTATTTCAACAATAAATTCGAGCTAAGTAATCAAAAGAAAAACAAATATGTCGTTGCAGATTTTAAAACTATTTAGTTCAAATTTTTCACCTTCGTGCTAATTGATGATTCTGGCTCAGTCATTTCTATTCTACAATAACCTAAGATACAGATAAAGCTTTTATTATTAGTAATTAATTCTATATTAAATGCCAACAAATAAAACACCAATATTATATTAGTAGTGTAATCAGATGAAAGCTAGAGGAGCTTCAGCTCTCCTTCCCTACCAATGGTTGAGTTTCGTTTAAAAGTGCGGTTATAGCTCCCTCTAGAAGCGCTATCAGAGAGTTTTCATTCCATCTCTACAGACATGATTAGGAATCACAACTGCTCACCTCACAACTTTTTTTCTGATTACAGCACTAGATTATATAACAAATTTATGATACACCAGAAGAAACAACTATCATGAGCTATTACAGAGAGCAAACATGATAACAAATAGATACAGGAAAAAAAAGGAACAAGAATGTGAATTAATTTAGTTCATTTATTTATCTATTGGTGTTATTGATGTTGACGGTTGTCTACGTGCTGTACGTTGTTTTTCAAAACGATTTTCCATTTCAATTAAAACTTGTGGTGAATATCGTACAACTAATTTAACAGTATTTTGTGCTTGTTTTAATAATTCAACAGCTTTTTCATGATATTCATTTTCAACAGATACACCATTAACTGATAATAATTGATCACCTTTTTTTAATCCACCATGTTTCCAAGCAACACCATTTGGAATGATACGTGATATATATATTGGTGAATTTTGTTCACGTCCACCCATTACATTAAATCCAAGACCTTCTTGAGTTTTAGGCAATTCAATAACACGTGGATGTGAATGACCTTCACTAGCTGCAAAAGCAGCAACCTAAATTCAAAAATTTATTTATTATGCGATTAAAGAAATAAAAACATTTATATTTAGAAACTAACAGTTGCTTTAGCAGTAGCATTAGCTCGAACTTCTGGTGAACCAGTTACTGGAACAGTTTCATAAATTTTTTCATAAACTTCCAAAACAGCACGAAAAAAATCGCTTTGTAATATACGTTGTAATTCAAGTAGTTTTGTTTCAGGTATTTCACTTGTTGCTCGAAGACGGTCAAGAAGAACAATTGCTCGATCAATATCTTTTTCTAGATTAAGTGGTGATTCACCTGTTATAGAAGACATTATCTAAAATATAAATAAAAACAAAAACAAACACCAAAAGAAATAAAACATAAAAATGATTAACCAAATAAAATGAGAAATATAATCGTTACAATATTAAAAGCAATCAATGGAACTAAAAATAGAAACAAGAAGAAAACATAATTATTAAATAGAATTATTGAGAACAACAATAAATTTTACCTCTCATTACAGTACGAACAGATCGAATTAGATTCAATAATTGATGTTTAGTTCCACCAACATTTTGATATTCGTCAGCATAACCTCCTCCACCAGGATAAGCTTGACGATTTCCACCACCACTTACTACGAAAATAATAGATAAAAATCAACTTTAAAAAAAAAACAATATATTTACATCTTGAAAGAAACCGTTGTTCATTAAGAATAGCAATAGCATTAACGCAAAGCAGAGCAGCTTCAATAAGACTATATAATGTAAATCCCATGTTTAGTCGTTAAGTTGACTTTTGCTTTTCTAATCTTAAAAGAAAGACGTAAATGATTTTGATTGAATGAAATTTAAAAAAAAAAAGAAAAGAAAAGAAAAGAAAATTTTTATTAGAATGTGAACCAATTAATATAAATACAATAATAAATTTGTGCCTTTTTCTCTCTGTAAATAATATCAAACATCATAGTAGAAATAGTATAAATAAAAAAAATCATTCATGAACAATAATATCAATAATAATAAAAAGAATTAGAAATCAAACATTCTTTAATGTTTTACATTCGTTTGTCCATTAACAATTTTATTTTGTATCGTAGAATTTGGATGTAAAGCTTTCTTAATTATTTGTTCATATTTACTTAAATCAAAATTTCCACTTTCACTTGCTGGAAAACTTCGATGTTTTAATTGTAATAAATGTATATAATCTTGTTCAGTATATTCAGGTCCATGTTCTTCAATAACACCAATAATTTCATCTGGTTTTGTTGCATATAATAATTCATAATAACGATGTGCACGCATTAATTCAGCATCACCAACTGTTCGAATTTGTGTTAATGTTTGTTCAATAGCAAATATATTTCGACACATTTTAGTTACACCTGATTCACTTATACGTACAAAACGTGGTGCTGAACGAATTAATATTGTTGCTAAAACAAATCCAAGACCTTGAAATAAAAATGAAAATTTTTTTTCATTTAATGATGAATGTAATGTATCTTGTAAACGTGTTAAATCACGATTTAATGTCATTATATTTTCATCTGGATCTGTATCAATAACAGATGCATAATGTGATGCATTACGAAATAATAATGATAAATGATAAAAACAATGAAGACGTATTTCAAGAAATAAAACAAGTAATATATCATAAGATAATGTTAATGTTGTTTTCATTGCATTTGAAAATATTTCTAAATTAACACGAGATAATTTTAATTGTTCATATTGATGATGATTTTGTTTTAATGAACGTGATGTATAACCAGATGTAACTAAAATAAATATTTAAGTATTTATCAATAAATTTTAGAATAAAAATTCGTGAGCGTTATGTAAATTTTTTCTTCAAGAAGAAAACTAATATTATTGATAGAAATCTTCTAATTGATTTATAACTTTTGATCATTATTAGAATATTTCAGCAGATGTTTGTTGTGCTATTCATAGATTATCTAAATAATGGTCCAAACATTCTCTATAAATTGACCCTATTTATACCAAATATATATGTATGTAGATAGATATACAGTTTTTTTAGAATGAATTTATGAAGAGTTATGGGTTCCTTTGTTAATCATGACTAAGCATTTTATATCTTACATCTGTTTGATAAAAAGAAAAATACTCTTTTAAGGTCTGAGTAATTAAATTTGAACGAAATATTAATTTCTAGATATTTTTCAATGAGAAACCCAAACAGACTAATGCAAATCTCATATACATTGCATGAGAGTGTGCTTAATTTTTGGTGACATTAGTTGATTGACTGATAATTGATGTTTCGAGATGTAATGTAACATACTAAAACTAAAAATAATCTCTCCAAAATACATGAATAAACAGAACAGTAGATCAACTCATATTATTTAAAGTTTAGCTTACTCTCTTCAATACTGCATATATGAAATGTTTATTAGCCTACCTGTTTTTTTTTCCTATTTTACATTGGAAACAAATTATATTTCACTTCAGATATTACAAGTGTATTGTATTTTTTCAAACAAACTAAAGATATAAAATGCTTAGTCATGATCAATAAAATATTTATAACTTTTCATGATGTCGATTTGTTTTGAACTATTTTCTTTTCAAGCTATAGCTGTAATTTCAAACGTTTGGACCATCGTTTAGTTTTATATTAAACGATACTTTTAACTCAGTATTATTTTAGAGTCTACAGTGATTCGACTGAGGAATATAACAGCCTTTCAATCATGAATATATATGTATTGGAATAGTTTGATGCAAATTAATTATTTTAAGATTTTAATAAGCGTAAAGCGTAGGAATATTTTATTTCACATCATTTGTAATAATGCTTATTTAACCTGAAGTAGTTATTTGATAACTGCAATAGAATTTATTGTCAGAATGATACACCAATTTCTGCAATATTAATTGTAATAGTATTAAAACTGTTGTTGTTTTTTTTTGCCTTTAGAATTTTTATTTATGTTCTACATGCGCTGTTTTCATTGGAAGAAATTCATAAAAAATTACCTCAGTATATACCATGAAACATTCAAATCTCAATAAACTAAAATACTAAAATATAAAATTTAAGGATATTGAAAATTCGAACTCAATTATCATTTTCATAATAGATTTAATTGAAATATTAATATTTTACCTGTTGTTTGTGTTAATGCATCAAGATATTTAGTATCATTTAAACATTTATCTAATATATCAAAATAATATGATAATTTACAATATAACCAATCAAGACTTTCATGAATATTTGCTAATAATTTAACATGTTTATAATTTGTACAAATATCATCTAAATTCATTTCATTTTGACTAAAATTAATTAATAAAGTTTCAGTTTCTTTTGTTTGACGAAAACGTATATTATCAGCATTATCATCTTGATTATCATTATTTAATGAATGTTGTTGTTTAGCCATACGTATAAATGCATCAAATGCTGGCATTGTACGTAAATGACGATTTATATCAGGATCTTTAACCCATTCATTCGAATAAATTGATGTACCAGGTGAATCATTTCGTTCAACAATTGTTAAAAATAATTTATTACATGATTCACGATGTTTAAATAAAAGATCAATAATAGCTTGACAAAAATCATCAGCATATGGTGGAAGACATTTAACTAATGCACATAATTCTTCACATGATTTAAATACTGAATAAGTTGATTGAAGAATTGGTATTGGTAATTGAAGTTGTTTTTGTAAAACAACTGGAACTAATTCAGCAAGACGATTTTGATCAGCTGTTGTTGCCGAAGATGACAATTGAGCTGATTCACGAATATCTTTTATTACACGACCAATAAAACGATCACGAATAAATTCAGTTAATTTTCTGGATAAAATGTAAACAAAAAAAGATTTAAAATATGTTTTTAAATAATAGAAAATTCCTCAGAACGGCGCTTATTTTGACTAAGATGAAGACCAAAAGACAGAATTATTTTTTTGACATAAAAAAGCAATAAAGGTTAGGCGATGATTAGCAAAGGAGATAAAAAGTAAACTATACAAGAATGTTTTAAATCTAATTTGTTATTTTATCGTAGAATCAGTTAACATTATGCATAATCTTAATTTCACCATTTCACAATACTCTTTTTATTGAAATGAAAAGTTTTCAATTAGTTTACTAAAATAAAAATGAACTATTCCTGTTCTCACTTTTCCCATTATAAAAAGAATGACTTGTCTCATAGATCTAAAGCTTTTCAGGATAGATACATCTCAATTAATAGAGCAAAAGTTATTATAGACTCAAAATTCTCAAATGTATCCATAATAGAACAAACCATGATGATAAGAGATAAAAATAATTTCTCTTACTGCTCTCCATATTCAGCTGCATTAAGTCTGATAAAGCTAAGAATATTTTTACAGATCCTAGATAATGTTTACAATGTTGATGCGCAAACATTTGTAAATGTCAAATCGCTTTTGAGTTGAGACAATCCATCATATAGGTTCTAATGAGCTATGAATACTTAGAGAAGAATTTGGGTTAATAGCTTATTACTCTCCAGAGATTGTATTTTCATCGCATTTCTTAACAACATTCTATAGTCTCGCTCAGACGAATATCAGCAAAATGAACTTTCGAATTTCGACTTGAAACTTTGCCCAAAGACGAGCCTTAATAAGAATAGTTTATTATTAAAGTTTCAGGTTTCTCGTCACTTCTGTGCAACAGCAAATTCCGATATTCTTATTTCAGAAGAGAGGTAATGGAGAAACCTGACACTTTCACAATAAGCTGTTCTTGTCAAGATCTGTCTGTGTACAAAATCTTAACTCAAAATTCAGTTTTTCTAGTGTTTCTGAGGAAATCATGACTGCAAAGAGAATACGATAAAGAGACAATATCCTGGCAGCAATAAACTCTTAGCTCGAGCTCTTTTTATGGTATTCATAGGTTATTAGAAACTACATGATGCAAGTAGTTTCAATTCAAAAGCGATTGGACACTTGGAAACGTTTCTTAATTAATGTTTTTGGTTTCTTTTTAGCTCTTGCCATGCGAATAAAAACATCAAAGTCTTGAGAAAACTCTCAAAAAGTATCACGTAGATACTGTAAACATTTTTCAATACCAGTAGAAAAAAGCTTCAGCTCGATTCGGCTTAATGTACTTGTGAAATGAGGGTGATTCTTCTCTTTCTTGTTGTTATCATCTAAAACTCATTTTTCAGAAAAAGCAAAAATTATATAAAAACTGGAAATTTTTTTAGCGAAACTATTCTATTTCAGATTCTTTCATCTTCACAACTGTAGATGAATCCTTGAAATAAATCCAGTGGATAGAGTACAGTTCGAACCGTGTATGAACTAGTTGAAAACTTTGAGTTTTAGGTTAGGAGCGGTGGCTTTCCGTAAGGTACTACCGACAAATTTTGTGACAAAATAGTTGTATACAAATTATAGTCGATCAAGTTAGTCCATCGATAGATGATGCATCAATCAATGATATTGAGATATATCAAAATAATATGGAAGCTTTGTAATATTAATTTTTTTTTCTCTTAAATGGACTCGAATTGAAAAATTTTCGACCCAATAGATCCTGCTTTCAATACAAAAATCAAATACAATAACTAGTCATTTGTCAGTCAATTTCTCAATTTAAGAAATGACTTCAATACAAATCACAATCCTATCATATTTTCCGTCTATTTGAAAAGTCAAGTCTCAAACGAATATACTAATCACAAAAATTTGATTAATCTAACCTATCAAGAATACGTTTAGTTGGATGTAATTTATAACT